ATCCCCAGTTTTACGAAAATCGACTTAGGCATCAAGTTTACACTTGAGCCAAGGTTACACAGTGCTTTTCCAACAAATTTGTTTCCAATCGAACATGGAATGATAAAGCTGCCCGGATCACGTCTCTTTGGTGGTAGCTTGCTTAAGGAAGAGCAAAATTCTTTTGTCGTGGTAATTGTTTCGTACTGCTCAACCTTTCTCTTCTTGGTGACGATTTCTTTTAGAAATTTAGCATATGTGGGCATTTGTTCCATTGCTTCAAGAAAAGGAACATTGATCTGCAGTTGACCCAGAATGTCAACAAATTTTTTAAACTGAGTATCCTCGTTATGTTTCTTCAGTCTTTGCGGAAAAGGAGGCGGGGGTCTGGCTTCTTGTAATGATGGGGTGCGAACAGAAGTTATCGTGGCATTTTTATTTGCCCCCTCAGCTTTGTTACTTGATGAACCCTCAGATTTATCTTCTTCATTCGGTGCTTCCTCCTGCAGTTCTTTATCAGCTTGACTGGTTGTGGGGGGTGAATCTTCCTTCGGTTTTCCCCCAGACTTATCTTCTATATTAATTTGTGTACCGCTTCGGAGAGTTAGCACATTGCATTGTTCTTTGCTATGAGGTTTGGTGACTTCAGTGTCACTTGGCAAATGTCCGAGTTTACGTTCTTGTAATGCCGCGGCAATCTGACCTACTTGACTCTCTAGTGTCCTTAACGATGAACTATGGCTCTGGAGTAGAGCTCCTTGATTTTTTTATAGAGGTCGAGTGGTCTTGCAGCATTGTTTTTGTTGTTGCAATGAATTCTTGCATTGTGGCCTCCAAAGAACTAGTATTTGATGAAGATGGCCCTCCCTTGTTTTTGATTATGCAATGGCATATTCGATTGATAGCCCTGGGAATCATTAAAATTCTACTGACGAGCTGGCTGTTGAGCAGTGCTGTTTCCTTGATTTCCCCAAGAAAAATTTGGATGCTGACGCCATCCAGGATTATAGGTGTTTGAATAGGGGTTGTTATTGCCTCGATTAAAATTGCCAACAAAGTTGATGGATTCTTGATTGGTTGGGCAATTACTCTCATTGTGATTGCCTTGGCATAATAAACAAACTGAACAGGTTGCCTTCACTTCCCTTACCTCACTTGGCCTTTGTAAATTTTTTAGCATGTTGGTAATGGCAGCAAGTTGGGCTGACACGGCATCATTAGAATCTAGCTCGAGAGCTCCATGTGTCTTACGCCCAAACCCATGCTTAGTTGAGGGAAACTGATAATCATTGGTAGCAATCCTATCCAAGATGTCAAATGCCTCTGCTGGTGATTTATCTAGTAACGTCCCATTTGCCGAGGCATCTAGCATCATCCTCGTGGGTGCGTTTACTCCATTATAGAACATCACTACTTGTGTCCAATCTTGAAAACCATGGTTTGAACACTTGCGAAGCAATGCTTTGTATCTATCCCAGCACTCATGCATCGACTCGTCATCAGCTTGACGGAATGAAGCAATGTCGTTCCTAAGTTGGGTGTTCATGTTCGGAGGATTATACCTCAGCAAAAAATATTTGCACAGATCTGTCCACGACTCCATAGAACCCGCTGGAACTCCACTCAACCATGCCCTTGCTCTGTCTCGTAGGGAATATGGGAATAGATTTAATTTTAGAACATCTTCGTGCACCCCTTGTTGGCGAAAAGAATTGCACACTTCCAAGAAGTTACGAATATGCTGCCTGGCATCTTCATTTGGCATGCCCCCAAACTGCCCTATAGAGTTTAACATGTTGAACATGACAAGTTTCAGCTCGAAATGGGCTGCCTGAATATCGGGTGCCACAATTCTAGGGTTGAGATCCTCTAAGATTGGATTTAAATGATCACGAATAGCCCGAGGCCTAGCTGCATTCCCAGCATTTGGATTTGCCTCGGCATGTTGATCACCCTCATGGCCAATGCCCTGATTTCCGAGTTGGTACATATTGACACGTTGTGCTCGTCTTCTTTTTCTAAAGAGCCTTTCAATTTCAGGATCAATAGGTTCCAATGGCTCTTCAGGGTTGCTTCTGGTCATAAACTCGAAAAAATCTGAAAAATTAAAGAAAATATAAAGTAAAGATAACTAAAAGAAAAAAAATTACACAAGTAATATAAAAATGCTATGACAAATCAATTTAACTTCCAATTGCAATTTCCCCGGCAACGGTGCCAAAAACTTGTCCGTTGTTTGTGAGTACTAAAATATGATGCGGATATGTGTGCAAGTATACACAATCGAACAAGTAATAAAGTGATAAGTAGAGTATCGTCTCCACAGGGAATTGGGGAAATCAAATAGGTTTGTCAAGGCACTTTACTTTGTCACCTAAGTAAAGTTAGTTATGGTATATACAGATGAGAATGCAGTGGCAAAATGGAATGGACGTAGTGGAAATGGAGTGGTAATAGTGTGGTAGCAGATGGATATGTCGTGGCAAATTAAATTGTGATACGTGAAAACAAATGGAAATGTCAAGGCAAAATAAAAATGCAAATACTAGATTTAATATATATGTAGGACTTTAGCTTTCTCACAAGACAAGCAGCAATGGAAATGAGTGATGGGAGACACAAGGAAAACTTAAGTTTATTTCTCTGAATAGTGCTTCTTCTATGCTTACCCTGCCCGACAGAGTCTACTGATGTGCCCTATGCTATCTCTAGTAAGGGACTCGACAGACTAAAGATGCCCTGGCAAAACCGATTGGCGTAAGCCCAAGCAGTGATCCTATTGACTCAGCTAATAGAATATGTCTCTGCAATACCTTTTTGCGGCAGCATTAACATCTAACCTATCGTTTATACACAACTCCTTTTAGTCGAATGAAATCTTATTCTTATCTCTAAGGTGGATTAGGCCTAGTTACTATCTAGAACACGTTGTTTATGTAGTTCCTCCCTAGCTTCTCTCGAAGACTAAAGATAAATTGCCAAGGCATTCTCTCGAACCTCATGAACCCTCCTAAGGAAAGGCTACTCTCGTAGCTCCTACAACCTCAAGACTTTAAGCATCATAAACAAAATAGAATAGAGCATGAAACAACAACCATTCATTAAAATAACAAACTTAAATAAACAACAACCAAATAGGATTATTCATGGTTCGAAAATCCACAAGCACAAAGCAAGATTCATTCGTTCCTTACAACCCAACAACAAAATATAAAAGCAAGGACTAAGGGGAGGAGAGAAAGCCTTCGACGTGCACTGCCAAATGCCTTCCTCGGCCACCAAGGACTGCTCCCAGCGGACTAGCTCCTCTCGGATGCTCAGAACGCCACTCCCTTCTGCTAGTCAAGGAGAAATGCCACGGCAAGTGGGATTGACGGAGAAAGATGAGACTTTCTCTCTCTAACTTTTTAAGATCAAATGTGGCTGGAACTAAAGTCCTCTTCAATATGGCTTCCTCCTCTATTTATAGGGGAAAAGAAATCCTAAGGTTTGGTGTTAACCATCCTAGGAAACCCCAAAACTATGGTTAAGTTGCTTGGGAGTCGAGCAGACTAGGCAATGATACAGCCTAGGTAGCTGGCTAGAGACCGGCATAATCCCGCTACAGGCGCCCTAGGACCGACAGGATCTGCAGGGTCAGACTAGGCAACGTCATCAACAGAACCGGTGGTTGAAGCACTAAAATGCTGCGGTGGGTATCTCGGGCAGAGCATGCGTAAAATCCGGGACAGCTGGCTAGAAAATATCTTCTCTCTCCTTGTACGCTCCTGAAATGCCATTTGAACTTGGCATTTTTATTTAGCTCAGCAATATCCTTATGTCACGGCATTTTAAATCCTCTTTTCCTTGCTTTCAACACCTGCACATCATCAGACAAGTACCTTTCCCATAAAACAGCACCGCTGTAAAAATAAAATGCCACGGCAAACTGAAATCCACCACATGCAACTATATGCTCCTAAATGCATCTAAATGGTCCTAAATGGGCTCTTAGACATTCAATAACTTAAGTGAAAAGGTCCCAAAATATGACATTTTCAAGGAGTTATCAATGTCACTAGCTTCCATTTGTATACTATAATGAACGTAGTGCCTATAGATGAATGCTTACAGCCTTTTGAAATTGATGAGCCGAATATAGAGGCAACATTAATATCATAAACTAAGAAGAAAAATGTTTGGTAAGTACAAACAATTCAGCTACCTAAGGAACATACGAGAGTACGGGTGATTGATGATTTGAGCAACTCGTGAACTACTTGAATTCGATTAGGTCAAAACTCGGTCAATGCTCGACTCGGATTGATTCGAACTCGAGCTCGACTCGAGACCTTAATGAGTAGAGTCGAACAAGATCTAACTCGACTCGATAAATTCTCGAGTAGTTCACTAATTATCTTGAAAAATTATTGCATTTTAAAAAAGGAAGTTAAAATAATAATTACTAATTTACTAATAGATAATAGGAAAGATGTTAAATTATTAATTAATAAGTACTACTAATTCACTAATATATTAGTTTCTAATAAGCAATAAGAAAAATATTAAATTAATAATTATTAATTTATTACACCAAAAAAATAATCCCTAATTACCTTTTCCAAAAATTTTGATGAACTTAACGAGCAACAAATTTTTTAATGAGCACTAGTCGAGCAAATTTCAACGAACTTAATGAGCAAAGAGTCGAGTCGATCAATAAAAAAATTTAACGAGCACAAGTCGAACAAAAATTTAACAAGCTTAACAAGCAACAAATCTAGTCAACCAACAAAACTTTTTAACGAACACGAGCAAATACTACCTAACTCGTGATCGACTCGCTCAATAAGCACACAGGCCAACCTCCAATAATTGCAATCAAATTCCATACACACTTGGACCACATCATAATCAAATTCCATGCTTCCCATCTTAATTACAGCTTTGAACAGTTAAACATGAAGTGAAAAGAAATCAAAGAACCTTGCTTTGGCTATAAGGAAATTGGAACCTTATCGGAAAAGAAAGTAGAATCAATTTTCAAAAACAAAAATGCCCTATAAGATCATCTATTTCTTGATGCTTAGTTTTGTATCTGTGGCCTTGGAATTCTGACTCTTGCCTTTCTTTTCTGCTTTGCAGTAGTCCTCTTGCATCCTCTTTTTCATTTCCTGAGCTGTTACCCAAGTATAATCATGTGGTATTGCAAATGGATCTTGAACATTTTCTATCTTGTTATTCGATGATCCCGGCCGTTGATACGGCACCTTTATCCACTGAAACCAAGACGAACCCGCTGTACGTGTAGCCGAGGAGCTTTCTTTCCCCGAACGGGGGCTTGAAGGGGGTGTCGAGAACTCGTCGCCCACCGGCTGCAATTCTTCAAACTTGGTGAAACATACCAACACTCTGACTGTTGGAACCACAGGGAAAGCAACCTAAGTGCAACCATAAGCATTTTCGTTTGTCATTGAGCTTAAACTATAATCATACATTTCATCTGTTTAGTCGATTCTAGGACTAAATCGAAGTTTGTTGTGTCTGCTGCAATTCTTCAAACTTGGTGAAACATACCACACTCTGACTGTTGGAACCACAGGGAAAGCAACCTAAGTGCAACCATAAGCATTTTCGTTTGTCATTGAGCTTAAACTATAATCATACATTTCATCTGTTTAGTCGATTCTAGGACTAAATCGAAGTTTGTTGTGTCTGTTTGAATACCGTAAACCGTAAAAACAAAGTTTGGACAGATAATGTTAAAGCAAAGAAGGCACATGAAGTTTCATTAAAAGAAGATACCTTGACGGGGAAGGTACCGGGTGGAAGCTTTGTTGTGAGCAGTTCCCTTAACCGACGAATTGCCTTGACTTTGTTCGCAAGAATGTCGAGCAATGGCAGGAGTTCTTCGATTTTCAGCGGGAAGTCGGAAGAAAGCCAAAGAACAGGTCTCAACCCTTTCCTAAACTCGTTCTGGCCATTATCTTTTTGTTGATTACCACTCTCCGAACTCGTAGAAGTCGATGATCTCGAATCTTTTATCCTCTGATTATCGTCCCTTGCCATGGTCTCAACCGAATATTTACCGGGTTTTTTCTGACTTCCCGATGGACAGTCTCCAAGCATGTCACTCGGCTTTTCATTTGTTGGCTCCCGTTTTCTCCACCCACCAAACCATCCTTTCTTTTCCTGCTTAGTCTGCTCGTTAATGGCATCGCCATTCTCATTGGATATTTCCGACGTATCCGATTTAAGAGCGACTTTAAGTTGTCTCTTTTCGTCTTCTGTCAAGAAATCTTCGAACTCTTCGCTCTCAGATTCATTCTCATTGGAAGCTAAGAACTCCTCATCCGTCATGGCCCCAGGCACCCTCTTAGATTTGATGAAAAATACAACATTGTGCATATCGTACACCTTTGCCTTCCAGGCACCCACCATTTCGGTTCTCACATGTCGTTTCCATGTCATTTGCGGCAAAAGAACGGCCTTCGACACGTTTATCCCAGGCCGTAATATATTAGTTTGCGACATTGCAACCACTTCTTCTTGAATCTCTTCGTCGGTCGATTGAGAACCAGCACCATCGAATTCGAAAGCATTTATCACCTCTTTATCCTTATGCTTGATCATACAAAGTGATCCGAGAGGAACCTTCCCGTCCTCCGAACCATCACCGAGGAAAATAATACTCTGATCCGAACGCTGAATTCTGAGTCCATCGAATCCGGCCAAAGTCATATCGGCTCTCAAATTCGCACCCCTCTTCCAAATTTTATACGTATCCGAAGGAGCAATTCTGGAGATGAAAGGTATAACGGAACTCTCGAAATGGAACGTGATTTCCATGTAAAAGTCCCTCATCCTTTGCATCGTTCCCACCAAGCGAGGCAACCTTCGACACCATTTCGCCCAAGCCAACGACGGGTAATGCCGAACAATAACCATAGCAATAGCATCTTGCCTATTAGAAACAGCTTCTTGGAGTGCACTCCATCCTTGCTCATTTCGCAAGCTCCAATCGGCACCGGCAATCATTAGCATTTCGGTCGCGGTTTCATCACCGAGTTTAACAGCCAAGTGAAGAGGGGTATCTCTATTGGGAACATCGCGCCGATCAACCACGGCAGAGATCTCATCAGCCTTCTCTTCCTCCGCCAACGATTGTTCTTCCGTTTGAATATCGTCCGGATTCCCGAGATGTGGGAGTGCAGCGAGTATCTTCTCGAGACCGTAATAATCCTTGGTAACACCAGCTTTGTGCACGGGACTATGAGCATACTTAGAAACATCAATACCCGCCATGCCCACTCAAGATTCAAAATATGGTATCAACCCTAAGATTAGCTTCCATTTAAAAAAAAAACACACAAATTTCAATCATTCAGCGTTAGAACATATTCAATTTCAACTCAAAATCCCCTACAATTCGAGCACATAAGTAAACTGTTCTTCCCTAACAAATCAACAAATTCAAAAGGAAAAAAAGAAAACAAATCAAACCCAATTTGCAGTGTTAGACAGTTATTCATAAAAAGAATCCTTGGGGGACACGAAATAGAAATCCAGAAAATCCTCACCTGGTTCCTCCTTTCTTTTCTAAGCAACCAAACAATGCTCCCAGAAAAAGAAAGAAAATTCATAACTTTTCACTGGAACGAGCAGTAAATTGTGATTTTCTCCAAACACCAATTTTGCAGCATTAGACAGTTATTGTAACTACCATCAACAGAACACCAAATTGAGATCCAAAAATATCTCCTCTGATTTTTTCTTTACTTTCCCTACAGCCACCCAATGTCAAAAATATGAAATTTATCAATTAGAATTCACATATATTATAACAATACATAGAATAATAGTTTCCTGTGAGAGTGCATTGACCATCAAGGATGAAACTACAACATAGATTGATTTTTTTTATTAAAAAAGTATATTAAGATATATACCTCTCTAGACCTCCAATTTTAATTCATTTAAACTTTACTCGTATTTTTTATGGTTGATTATATTTTACTTTTTTATCTTAATTTTTAAACTATGTTCAAGTGTATCATAATAGTCATTTTTAAAATATAAATACCGCATAACATATTTTATCAAAGCAAATATATCACACGTACATTATTATGATTTCCTATTCCACTCTCTTCTATATAAATATTAGTCCTTATGGTGTATATATATATATAGCTGAAGCTGTTTCTTCTCCATCATTATTAGGTATTGGTAGATTTAAAACACAAAAAACCAGATTTTTCATGGTCTGATATATAATATGATCAGAGCTTTCTCGGGTTAGGGTCAAGTTTAAGATTTTCAGTCACATGGCAAGATCAATAAGTTGGGGCTTAACTTTAATCCGGTTTTACGAAGCGTAACGAACAAGCATATTCGAATATATATAATAACATATAGTGTAAGTCTGGTGTCAATCCCGTGAGAAACCGTACGTAAATTTGTAATCCAAAAACCAGCAAAAATGCCAACCAAATGTTGTATGTAAATGTAAGAATCACATATCAATTTTCTTTCCAGCCCTTTTTTGTTTCTTTTTGATTCATTAATAGAAACACAACTTTCATGGATTAATGGAGTACCATTTTCTAAGTAGTCATCATCTGCAGGAGCTGCCTTCGTTTTACATCCAGGGATCGTTTAAGCATCACTTCGACTGGTTCTGACTCTTAGCGTTCTTTGCTCTGCTCTTCTCTTGCATCTTCTTCTTTGCTTCAGCTGTGATCCAAGCATAATCTTGGGGTATCGCAAATGGATCTTGAAGGTTTTCGATCTTGTTGTTGCAGTGATTGGATGAGCCCGAGCGTTGGTACGGCGCCTTTATCCACTGAAACCAAGATGAACCAGTCGGATGTGTCACTGCAGGGCTTTCTCGCCCGACACAGGGGCTTGAAGGGGGCGTGGCGAACTCATCCACCTGTTGTAGTTCTTCAAACTTGGTGAAAGAAACCAATACTCTGATTGTTGGAACCACTGGGATAGCAACCTAAGACCAACCATTAGCATTTCTAAGTATAATTGATGAGACAAATATTGCTTGTCATTGAGCTTAAATATACATAATGTTATTGAGCTTAAATATACATAATGTTCATGCATTCCATTTAGTGACTAAGCTAAAACAATCGTATCGACACTTATGTCGAGCACACATTCGAACATGATAAACAAGGATATATCCCCCTAAATATATGGGAAAACTTGGAACAAATTTGAGCATACCATGTAAGAAGCACACCCATATCTGAAACTCACCTCCCGAATCAGAGTAATTTAGGTGATTTGCATGTGTCAAGGACATACTCCACTCTTATAATTCAAATTTTCATTCTTCTGACAGAGTATACAATTCAAAATCAAAACATTTAAGAACTTTAAACACATTTTAGTCCAAGATGCCTATGTAGCGACAGACAAAACAAAGTATTCCAGAAATACACCGAACAGGTGACTACCGCTGTTAAATGCCAGACTAAAAGTATATGAATAGAAAAGAAGATAAAAAGGAAAATAAATACTCAAACCAAAATCTTCTATTGCAATGAGGAACAAGAAACAGCAGAGTCAACTCAAAAAAGGACTACAATTGTTGAGCCTACAGCAAAGGTGAATTAAACCAACCGAAAATCAAAATATTCAACGCAAACAAATGAATAAATAATATACATTTCAAGAAACCTAAAAGGATGAGTCCCCCTAACACTTTCCATCACTAGATGCAATACTTAGAACGGATTGCAAAAGATGTAAAAGGTTTCAATGATCATGCAAAATTAGTTGGAACAATCCGGCAATGGAAATAAAAAAATAGGACCTTCAAAATCTTTAAGAGAAATGTTTTGAGGAAAATGGAACCAACTCTGTCCTTGTTCGATACGGATTTCTTTCTAGGACTTGCCAATCATTACTGAATAATTAGGACAATGACTGGCATTCCTTTTGCTTAGCCATCACAAATTTTGGGTAATCAGCAAAGCCTCAAAATACGAAGCAGAAAATCATTTACAACTCCCAGGTGATCACTCAAACATATAAAAACAACCTATATTCGCAAATTACACATCTTTCTAGAGGGAAATGTCTTCCCACAATTGACAAGAGACGATACCAGAAAATCAAAAGAGAAGACAATATGTAAATAAGTATATGGTCATTAAGAAATGTACATGATGCGAATCAACATAAAACTGAACAATAAAGACAAAAAAAATTAGAGCAAAGGTCACATAAAGTTTCATCAAAAGAACATACCTTGACAGGGAAGGTTCCAGCAGGAAGCTTTGTAGTGAGCAGTTCCCTTAACCGACGAATTGCCTTGACTTTGTTCGCAAGAATGTCTAGCAATGGCAGGAGTTCTTCAGTTTGCAGTGGGAAGCTTGGTGAAAGCCAAAGAACAGGCCTCAACCCTTTCTTATACTCGTTCTCCTTGCCACTGTCCTTACGCCGATTACCACTCTCTGAGCTCATAGAAGTTGTTCTCAAATTTTTTATCCTCCTATGATCATCTCTTGCCACAAGTTCCACGGAATGTCTACCAGGTTTTATCTGACTCTTGGAAGGAGAGTCTCCAAGTAAGTCACTCACTTTTTCATCTACAGAAAGAGAATTTCTAGGTGGCACAATCTTTCTTGGTGTTTCATTCTTTGACTCCCGTTTCCTCCATCCACCAAACCATCCTTTCTTTTCCTGCTTAGTCTCTACATTTTTATAGCCATTGGTCTCCTCGTGAGGGATTTCCCTAGACTCATAACAGCTATGACGATGCCCAATAATGGCATCACCATTCTCATTGGATATTTCTGAAGAATCCAACTTAAGAGCAACTTCAAGTTGTCTCCTTTCATCTTCTGTCAATATCTCATTGAGCTCTTCACTCTCCGTTTCATTCTCATTGGTAGCTGCGAAGAACTCATCATCTGTCATGGCCCCAGGCACCCTCCTAGATTTGATGCTAACGACGACATTGTGCATATCATACACCTTAGCCTTCCAGGCACCCACCATTTCAGTTTTCTCTTGTCGCCTCCATGTCACTTGTGGCAAAAGAACTGCATGTGTCACATCTATCCCTGGCCGGAATATATTAGTTTGAGACATTGCAACCACTTCTTGTCGAACCTCTTCGTCAGTTGCTTGAGAACCAGCACCATCGAAAGCATTTATGACCTCTTTATCCTTATGTGAGATCATACAAAGTGATCCAGGAGGAACCTTGCCATCCTCAGAGCCATCACCAAGGAAAAGAATACTCTGATCTGAACGCTGAATTCTGAATCCATCAAATCCAGCCAAAGTCATATCAGCTCGCAAATTGGCACCCCTCTTCCAAATTTTATACGTATCTGAAGGAGCAATTCTGGAAATGAAGGGTATAACGGAACTCTCAAAATGGAATGTGATCTCCATGTAAAAGTCTCTCATCCTTTGCATAGTTCCCACCAAGCGAGGCAACCTTCTACACCATTTTGCCCACGCTAATGACGGGTAATGCCGAACAATAGTCATAGCAATAGCTTCTTCCCTATTACAAATCGCTTCTTGGAGTGCACTCCATCCTTGTTCATTCTGCAAGCTCCAATCAGCACCGGCAACCATAAGCATTTCGGTTGCAGTTACATCACCAAGTTTAACAGCCAAGTGAAGAGGAGTATCCCTGTTAGGAACATCACGCCGATCAATCACGGCAGAGATCCCATCGGCCTTCTCTTCCTCGGCCAACGAGGCTGCCTCAGTCCGAATCTCAGTCAAGTTCCCAAGACGTGGGAGAGAGGCAAGTATTCTCTTGAGACCCGCATAATCCTTCATGGCAACAGCTTTGTGCACCGGACTATGTGCATACTTGGAAACATCAACACCCGCCATGCCACTCAGGAGTCAAATACGCTATTCAAACCCTAAGATTAGCTTTCAAATTGAAAACACGATTTCATTCATTCAACATAAGAACGCTTCGATTTCAACTAAAAATTCCCCAACAATGCAAGCACATTAGTAAACTATTCCTCCCTAGAAAATAAAAATCAAACAGCTTAAAGAACAATTCACACCCAATTTGCAGTAATAGACAGTTATTATAACTGCCATAAAAAGAATCTTTGGGGGACACGAGATAGAGATCCAAAAAATTCTCACCTGGTTCTTTTGTCTTCCTTTTTTTTCTAGGCAATCAAAAAATGCTCCCAGAAAAAGAAAGAAAAATAATTTCAAGCACTTAACCCCATCAAAGACACCTCCATTTCTCTTTCTCTCTAACTGCTACCTTGCGATCCAATCCAGATCAGAACAATACTGAAGAACATGCACGCGGGTATTTCAAACAAAATAATAATAATAATTAAAAAGAAAAACAGGTGGTGAATCCGGTACGGTTGAGAACACAAAATGATGCGCAAAGAATTTTTTAAAAAAAAAGAATAATTATACAAGAAAATATACAAAACCCCAACTATCAAGAAAACCCAACGCAAAATGAAGCGTTTATAAAATCAAAAACTGAAAAATAAAGAAGAAGTACCCAAAGTTACAGAATTTTTATAATTTTTTTTTTGAAATTTTGAAATTGGGATTCTTCATGTGGATGTGATTTTTTTATAATAATGTATTGAAATTATTTTCTTTACCTTTTTTTGGAAGGATAAGAACAAGGGAGAGTCCAATGAATTTGCATCATTGCATGTGAACCAGGAAATGTGGAAGAATTGCTTTCTTGTTACCATTTTTGTATTTTATTTCTTGTTTTGAAATAATAATATAATATTTGATGAGACTAAAATCAAGAGTCAATTGCATTATATATCCCTAAACTATAACCCCATTTTAAATTGATCCTTAAAATTTTGAATATTCTAATTGCATCTCCAAACTATGACTCATTCTAAATTAGTCATTAAACTTTTGAATATTTTAATTTCATCCCCAAATTTATCCAAACATGTAGTTAGTTTCGACCATTATTTAACCTAAATTTTATTTTTTCAAACATATAATAAAATAACTTGATCTAATGATTTTATTAACAATAGACGTGATTAATATATACATATAGTTTGAGATGAAATTATTATAGGGGACAATTTAGAATTAATATCATAGTTTGGGGATGAAATTGAAATGTTCAAAAGCTTAAAGACTAATTTAGAATAATAATCATGGTTTAGGGATGAAATTGAAATATTTAAAAATGTAAGGACCAATTTAAAATAAACAATATACTGTGAGAACTTATGACGCAATTAACTCTAATAACAATAATGCTATAATTAATTTAGGTGATTTAAAACAAAATAATTATATGGATATTAAGTCAAAAGTAAAATAAACGTCTTATTAAGAATTAATATTTTATATATCGATTGTGAAGAGTTTTTTTTTTACTCTACGAGTATGATTAAGAAATCACAATGTATTCTTTAATTGATATTTAAAAATAAATAAAATAAATAAATGATGACTTCTTAATCTCACTTGTAGAGTAAAAATAGTTACTTTTAATTTAGGGTTAATTATTCCATTCATATATAAACTATAATCGATTCTCAATTTCATACACAAAGTTAAAAAATTCTTGATTAATTATATAATGATTTCTGTCGTTAATAGGTATATTCATTTTCGTCACGAAAGAGGACATGAAACTCTCCAACGTATAATAATCTGACACATAGCTAATTAAGAAATATTTTTTAAAGATTTTTATTCTTTGACTATCTACTCCTCGATATGGTGAATAATATGTCACTCTTCCTCGGCAAAATCCATCTTCCCACATAAGCATCCTTCACCAGTTAAAAAAACAGGGGAAAATTTATATATACCAAAAAATTATTTACAAAATTGCTAATTTTGGAAATGAAAATACCTCCAAATTACAGATTAATAAAAACCCATCTCATAAGATCAACTAAATAATTCAAAATCCCTCATTAACAGAATTTCAATAAGGAAACAAGCAATGCTTGACCCTGAAGTTCTTCATTTTTCTGTGTTTTCTCATTAACTTAATAGTTAATAGTCAAAAGTTTGAAACACTTAAAAGCTCTGAAGTTCTTTCATTTGCCTATGTTTTCTCGGGAACCAAACAAGCAGGAAAAAAATAAGTTCAAAAGGGAAACTCCAAAACCATACTTACAAGTTGTCGTTGTCATCTCCATCCTTGCAACCATTATCGCCCCTCACTCTCCTACACCAAAACAAAGAAACCTGATTCAGTAAAACAATTGAAAAAAGTAAATTAAAAAAGAAAACAAATAAATGACGGATTGTATAGAGAACAAAAGGAGCGTGAGATACAGAGAACAAAAGGAACGTGAGATACAGGCGAGGACGGAGGGTCCAGAAAACAGAGTAAGTCCAGTCTGAGTTGTGACAGACGGTTCTAAGTACCTTGGATGAAAATAAACACGGACGGAGCCAGGAGAACCCAGACCGGGGAAGTAACGTGTGCAGGAGTTCTCAGAGACGCGTTTGGTTTACGGGTTCGGTGAAATAAAGATTACCAGGGAATAGGATTACTGGGAATGTCGTATTTTGTGTTTGGTTGGTTTAGCATGAATGTAAGATTACCGTGTTTGGTTAAAAGAATAAAAGATTATTAGAATGTATATTTAACCAAATTATCCTTATTATATATTTGTTTTTTAACAAGTTAAAAAATATTTATAATTTATAAATTTTATATAATTTTTTTTACAAAATTGAAAATATAAAAGGATTTAATGAAATGGTAAAATTTTATTTTAACCCCTGAACTTCATATAAGATTTTAATTATATATATTTTTTGTAAATCTAAAATAATTTAAGGATAAATTTGTAATTTAACATTCATAGAATTTTTATTATTTAATGACAGAATAAGGATATTTTAAAAAAAAAAAAATTAAGGACATTTTAGTCCAAAATGCTGGTAATCCAACAATACCTAAGGAAATGAAGGTAATGACATTCTCGGTAATATACCCCAAAAAATCTACTATTGGTAATGTAAGATTACCGGGAATGACATTCCCAGTCAATCAAACGGGGGAATGTGGATTTCATACCAATGAGAATCTCACATTCCCCCAACCAAACACACCCTAAAAGTAAATGGATTTTTGCTTTTCTGCTCAACGATAGAAGCCGAACTTTGGGGGGTTTTATGAAGGACTAAAAGCAGCTTAGAAGATGGGAAGTCGAAAGATAAATATTAAAACTGATAGTCAGTAAGTGATTCATCTGTTAAATCCCAGTTGAAGGAAAAAATATGACCTGAATCTTATTCACCATATCGAAGAGTACGTAGTCAAAGAATTTTTAAAAAATTAATTCACCATGTGTCAGATTATTATAGTTAGAGGATTCCACATCATCTTTCGTGATGGAAATGGGTATTCCCGTTAACGACAAAATACATCATATAGTCAATTGAGAATTTTTAAACTTTATGTATAAAATTAAGAATCGAGTATAGTTCATATATGAATGGGGTAATTAACCCTTTCATTTATATTAGATAATAATAATTTAATTTAATCATATTTATATATTAACTTTTTTTATAAATTAAAATTTTATTTCATAAATTTATTGCGCCCATTAGTAAGTTTAATAATTATATTTATTAAAAAGCTTACAAAGCATTTATTAAACAAATATATTTTTAAAAAGTGACGGACGTAGAATTTGAATTTGACCTTACAATTTTAAATTTATGATTCTCAACCACTTTTACTACCCCTCATTGGTCTGAAATTTATGTGGATTGATTGATCAATTCGTTTATTTTTTTTAATTTTATATAAAATTTCAATTGAAACTTAAAATTATTGTTTATTTTATTTAAATTTGTAAAACAATTTATATATTTGACGATTGAGTATTAACTTAGAACTTAAGTATAATTTAAGAATATTTAGTGTAATTTGGCACAGTTCTTTATTTGATTTAATTTAAAATATAATTACTCATTTAACCTTTGAAAGTATTTAAAATTTTAAGTATCTCGACCACAGTAGATGTTAAATAAGTTTGTTAAATAACGCATTTCATGTTCATATTTTTTAAAAATTTTATTTAAATTAAAAATAAAAATAAACATTTAAAAAACCCTTTCGTCTCTTCCTCTCTATCTCTTCCTCCCACCTATCAAAAGCTCACCCCCGCTCTCCTCCCTCCCACCGAAGGCTAATTGTCTGCGTCAAAATGGTCGAAGACTAATTGGTAGCCAAATGGCCTGTCAAGAGATTTAAAGGATTTTTAGAGATCTAAATATTTGAGATTTTATAGATTTAGGGATAAGGATTTAGAGATTTAAGTGATGGGAAGGGCGACGTCCGACAACTGGGTAGGCAACGATGACTGGATGGAAGATGACGGTGAGCAAAGCGGCGGTGGTTAACGTTTAAGTTTGGAATTAATATTTTTAGTGTTTTTGGGTTTTCTTAGATTTAATAAAATTTTAGGGTTTTTTTAAATAAAAGATTTTAAAGATTTAAAAAAATAAATTTTTAAATTTTTATAAAATTGATACGTGTTAGACAATAAAATATTTTAACGGTCATTATGGACCATACACTTAAAATTCTATACACTAACCGAAAAAGGTTTAGATACTTAAATAGAGAAATTGATATAGTTTGGGTTCTTGTTTACATTAAGCCTAATTATTATTATTATTATTATTATTATTATTATTATTATTATTATTATTATTATTATTTTATTATTATTATTATTATTATTATTAGGGTAAAGTACACATATAGTCCCTCGAACATAGGGTGTTACTTTGTTGAGTCCCCAAACTATTAAAAGTTACAAAATGGTCACTCGACTATTTAATATGTTCTAAACTCGTCTTTTTCGTTAAAAAATGACAACAGTCTGAGTTGGATGTTAATATGTTGACTGAGATATGATAGTTTTTTTAGATTATTAGATCAAATTTTATCATATATCAATCGTTAGGTTAACATCAAGCTCAGATTACCATTAATTTTTTAATAAAAATGATGAGTTTATATCATAGTGTATAGTTGGATGACCATTTTGTAACTTTTAATAGTCGAATGACTCAATAAAGTATTACCCTATAGTCGGGGACCATTTGTATACTTTACTCTTATTATTATTATTAATATTATTATTATTATTATTATTATATTTTTGTAGTTAAAATAGGTTTAAATGCCAAATTTTGAGAAGCTAAATAATGTTGTTAAATACTGCCTGCTAGAAGAGAAAAGTTCAAAAAGTATTTATTATGATGACTAAAGGTAGTGTCCGAAGAAGAAGAAGAAGAAGAAGAAGAAAAGAAGAAGAGAAGAAGAAGAAGAAGAAGAAGAAGAAGAAGAAGAAGAAGAAGAAGAGAAAAGAAAAGAAGAAGAAGAAGAAGAAGAAGATATTTCCTTTAAAAAAAGTATTTATTATGATGACTAAAGGTAGTGTCCGAAGAAGAAGAAGAAGAAGAAGAAGAAGAAGAAGAAGAAGAAGAAGAAGAAGAAGAAGAAGAAGAAGAAGAAGAAGAAGAAGAAGAAGAAGAAGAAGAAGAATAATAATAATAATAATAATTACTTACGACTTTTTAGTTATACAAAATAAAAAGATATTCTTCAAAAAATCGAATAAACTTTTTAAATATATCTTCAAAAAATCGAATAAACTTTTTAAATCTTTAAAAGAGTTAATATAAATATTTTTAATTTCAATCGAGTTCACTTCATTGTTTAAGGTTTGTATTACTTCAAGAGATCACATTTTAAAATTAAATTTGTATTTGTAACTTTCTGAAAATCAAATTAACATGCGACTTTTCTTAAAGCATCAGTTTTTAGGCGTTGTGATGATGCTTTAATTTTTCTTACATGTAATCGACTCTTGAATCTAATCTGATTTTTAAGCAAGTACAAATGCATGCCTTTTTAAAATTAAAAGTTTTTAAAAGGTCTTTTCAAAAGTGATTTTATAAGTTTTCGATTGTATCTAACTCAAACTGACCAATGATAACTTCATTTTGTCAAAACATACACATTTTTCAAGAAAATATTTTTTAAACTTAAAAAACAATTTTTACGACTTGACGTCACTAAGAACTTTTCCTTTTTAGATCGAGTCACCAGTTAAAAAAACATATTATCTCTTATTTTTTTTCAAAAATCACGAATATAATTAACTTCAATCTTCGCTAATTGTTTTGATCTTTGTTTTATTTTTTATTTTTGAAATTGTTGATCTATGATTGTTTGTTAGAAATGAAAGACTTTCATTATAAAATTATAAAGATTATTTTTATATAAGGTCATTTATAAAATAAAATAAAAAATCTGTATTTTTGTATATTATTTTTAAAGGACGTTGATTTATGATTGGTCACTAAAAATAATACAAGCTTTCTACTTAAACTATATCCTTTTAAAATTTAAGGTGGGCATAAATGCTACGCCTTCATAAGTTGACTTTTTGTACAAGTTAGTAAATTACTTAGAAATACACGTCTTATGTTTATGTGGTTTTTCAAGGATGGAAAATAGATGGTTTGGGATTAACGGTAACCTATATTGGTAGTCATTGAACTTTTCATTTGTCACAAAACTTTTAAAATTTAAAAAATCACACAAAAAATATATTTAAGGTAAACTATACTAAGATTCCCTAAACTTTAGGGCATTTGAATTTTGATACCAAACTTTAAAAAATATATATACTAAAATCACTAAACTTTTATTTATTTTTATTGCGATTATTGTAGTTAGTTATGGTTAGAAAATGTTGACATATTGTCTTTTTTTCTTTCTTTCTGAAAAATCATAATCTTCCAAATTGGGAAACATTACAAAAGTTGAATTTTTTATGAACGAAATGATTGTCGCAACGCTAGGAAGGTTCTATTTAGACAAAGTACTAATATGATTCAATTTCAAGTTGATATGTCAATTAACAGTAAAGGATTTAAAAAATTTACCTTTCAATTATTATTGGATTGTCATCTTATTTTTCGTCATTTTTCTTATCTGATGGTTTTTTCAATCGAAAATATCATCAAATTACTTGTATTCTTTGTAACCCCTTAGACCTAGTATATGTACTTCGACTAAGTCTAACAGATTACATTAAAAAATTTTAAAATATTTTCTAAAAACGTTATTCAATAATTTAAAATCATATACAAATAATATTTGTAAAAGTATAAATAAATAATGATAAAAACCCAACTGGTAAATAAAAAACTATAAATGACTAAGTAAAACAAAACATGTCATAAATCTAGATAATGATAAATTGAGTATCGATAGTAAAAAGCAGTAAACATTATAAAAAGATAAGTACTTCAAAATAAAGGCACATGTCACCATAATTAAAAGCATTTGAAGATAAAAACATTACAACAAAAAGTTCTTCAATATGTGTCGATTCCTCCGACTGCCTGATTCAGGTGTCTATCCAAAAGTATCTGAAAGGGGGTAAAATAGTTTGAAAAGTGAGTTAGGGTTCAATGTGTTCCATTAGTGCAATAAAAACATAATATGCAAAGCAATCAAGTAATAATCCAGTAAACATATCATGGAAATCTTGATAAAGCATAAATTATTAAAACTTGTAGTTTACCCTCCTCCCGTACACCATATGCAGTTCCCCAGAACTGCATCCATAGGACTTACCTTATACCCTTTGGATATAAGGAGCCAACGTAAATGAGCATATTGGGGGCATGAGAGCCTACCTAAGAAAGTTCTTGGGCATACCCAAGAAAGATCTCGGGGCCGCAAAGCCTTCCCAAGGGTCGCCTTAGGTCCGTAAGAATTTACTAGCTTGATCAGAGCTGAACCTCCATTCTCCAGCCTACCCAAAGAAAACAGTTCACATAACGAGCAGAAATTTTCATGATCTGTATTTGGAAAAATCATATCGTCTAGTGATAACAATCATTCAAATATCATGCATCATTCCATCATAGTTCATAAAACCATCAACCAGTGAATCATAAATTTCAGTGAAACATATATCAAATCAGATAAAATAATCAGGTAGCACATAGGAAACACACTTCGTAAAATAGGGCACACAGTAAAACTACTGAGCCCGGCCTTGTCACGCTTTGCTACAGTGCTCGAACCTAATTCATAGCAAACTGAGTTAATATAGAAGTAACATTTCAAATCGAGGTATTAAAAAAATTCACGGTTCATACGAGTGACTATCGACTCGCGTGATATAACGGATTGATAATAGATGGGTCGAGCTGGCGAGCGATTAGATAAGTCTCGAGTACCTTCAAATAACAACAATTAATCAGTCCAAAGTCTTACTTTGATTATTTCGAAATTAAAACACTTAATTACATAAGCATATTTAGGTTTGACGGTCAATTTGGAGGCTTTCGGGTTTGAATTTGGTGAAACAGATTTCAAAATTGGGCTCAGGAGTTAAAAAACATAAAATATGACTTCTCGAAAATTTTAACTTTTTGGTCAAAATCAAAGTCAACGGTCAGATTGATCAAAGGTTCAAGTCATGTTAACAGTTCAGGGTCGGGTCAACCCAGTTCGATTCTGCCTAGACTTGTTCCAGAAATTTCTTGGATCGGCTAGAGACCACCACGTGCACTGCCGATGCGTGTGGTGACGTCCGGGACCATTTCCATCGGCCGAATTTTCCCAATTCAACAATGACCTCAAATACATCATAAACTAATCCAATATCACCAATAAACCAAACCTTCACCACAACCGATTGGTAACTTACCCAACGACGGATCAGTGATGGCGCATCAACAATGAACAAAACTAGTCGGGTTTTGCTCGCACACCGGTGAGTGCAGTGGAGGAGGCGGTGAGGCGAAACAACGTCGGACGCGATCGAAATCGTCAAAGATTCACTCGGTGACTGGGTTTTTCGACGGTTTTTCTTTGCTGATCCACGGCGAACGACGTCGTTTCTCGACAAAATAGGGGTTGGATTTTGATCATCGTTCGACGGTGAGTATTTTGGTGGTGGTGGTTCGAGCAGGGGTGGCCGAACGGCGACAAATTTGGCCTATAATTGAGTCGACGGGGAGAAGATAATTTGGGGTTAGGGATTAGAAATTTGGGGGGAAATGAGATAGTTCGGTCAAAGGGGAAATGAGATAGCTCGGTCAAAGGGGAAATAAATTTTCATCGGGTATTAAAAATGGGCAAATTTAGGTTATAGTCCTTGAACTCTTTAAAACTTCTTAAAATGGTCTGCTAGTTAGTAAATTTTATAATTTAGTCCCCAAAATTTCAACCATTTTAATTATTTTATTAAATTTCTAATTTTTCAAAAAATATTGGGCTATGATATTCTTCTTCTTCTTTTCCTTTGGTTCAAACTCGTCGTAAAATCTTTTAATCTTCCAAAATCTCAAGTAAATTCTAACTAAAATAAAAAATCAAAACTTTCTAAATTATCATTGTCAATCGTTGAATCAACTTGAAACCAAACTATGTTAATCTTTTGACCGATATGATCATTCTCACTGTTGAGATTAATTAACAATTATTCTGTTCATCGAAAAATTGACTTTTGCAACCGTTACAAATTTAAAACCTTATGTTTTTTTTTTTGGAGAAAGAAGACTTTAAGGTATCAAGTCAGCATTTTTTAGCGATTGCTAATGCTAGTGGCCAAAATAAAAGCAAATTAAAAGTTGAATGATTGTAATATAAATTTTAAAAGTTCAATGCCCAAAGTGAAAGCATTTTAAAAGTTTAATGACTAATAACTTAGTTTGTCCTTTAAATTAGTATCATTTACAACTTGGTTTCCTTCTTTGATTTTTTGATACCATGAAATTACATTTATATAATTATCCAAATTACAGACCCTGAAAATGAAAATGAAAAAACGAACAAAACCAAATTTACAAGAACAAGGGGAGTCTGCGATGAGTTGATGGCATCGTCTTCTCAGGGATTTCAAGCATTCAATTTTTTTTCTGGAGTTATCGTTATCTTTTCCCGATCTCAATCATCACGAAAAGCTGAAAATAAAATATGGTAACGAATTTCTTTACTCTTTTTTTTTTGTATTTGTAAATGTCAAGATTGCTTCGATCTTTTCTTTTTTTGGCAGTTTTGATAATCCATGATTATGTTTTATTTTTTGAATTTATACAATAAAAAGATAATTTGCTCGCAATTCTAGAAAATATATGTTCTTTGTTTTGATTTCTGATATGATTATTTTATCTGTCTGTATATAGATTCCTTTATTTTATTAGTATATGGCAATTCAAAGGAATTAATATTTTATATTATTGTAATTGGAATTTGATGTAGATTTTACTGATGTTTTAACTTTTAATTTTATTTTTTTCTTAATTTTTTGTTTACTATTTGAAAATTTGTTGTCTAGATAAAATAAGTAAGAATTTTTTGGTTTGCTAGGTAGAAATTCATATTTGTTTGACGCATTTCAATATTTTCCCAGTAAGTGTGATTTTTTGCTTTTTTTAATTTGTTATATATCAATTTACGGTAAAAATGGCATGGATGAGTTTTGTTTTATATGTGGATGTTTAGAGTGTTCGAAATTGTATTAAAATTGTTTTGAGTTTTCCTTCCATTAGTAAATATATTTTGTGAACATTTACTTTTTTTATGTTTTGCTTCTTGTTTATTGTTGTTGCATTAGTTGTCTGCATTGAGGAACTTAGGCTTGAGTTCAAGTAACGCAGCTTTCTTTATTCTTTCTTATTTACATCGCCTTAAATTATTGTCATGAAAGGGTGGCTTTTCCGGAGCTGACATTTTAACTTGGAGTATAATGTTTGTTAAACACCTTTGGATAGGAACTTTTTTGCATGCAAATCATAGTTTTACTATTGAAGCTTGATATGAAGTCGGGGCCTGATTTGTATGCTTAATTTGTAGCAGAAAATGGAGGACATGGACATTGATTCATTAGTGGACATACCCGACACTCCTGATAGGTTATCTTCACAGCGAATGAATGGAATTCATCATGTTGGCAATTTATATATAGCTAGTCATGTGGGAGATTCTAATTCTGCAGCCTTGGACAGGCAGCTAAGGGGCAGAGGTAGAGTGGTTGCTGAAAATGGGCAGCACAGAAAACATTATAAACACCCTCAAAAACTTTCAGGCGGTGTTGATAAGATTGAACATCGAAAAAACACTATTGTTTTATCCCCACTAGAGGAAACTCGAGAAAATGCTCCCCTATCCAGAAAAACAACATTGGAGAGAAGCAGGAATTCCGTCAGAGATCAATACATGGAAAAAGGAAAAGCTCCTTGCTCTAAACTGCCTTCTAAATCCTCTGGATTTGGTAAAGACCATGCTACTGTAAATTTAACTGGACGGAATATGCACAAACCTGAAATGAAGTTTCCACAAGGTGGATCAGAAAATTGCTTTGCTGAAGGAGGAAGAAAAGGTATTGTACCAAGAAATGGTGGTTCTTATACATGTAATTCTTCAAGCAATTCTGCAACAGCCAGAGATAACTACAAGGGTAAAGAAAAAATAGATGATATTGGCTTTAAAGGTGTTGGCTCAGTTATGGATCATATGAAAGGGGTGGATCTCTCTTGTATTTCCCCTCTTAGATTGGAAAAGCAATTGTCTGCATCCCACCATTCTGATGTCTCACCAAGAGCAATCGGGAAAAAAAGGTTGGTTCGTAATGGTTGCATCGCCCCTCAGAATATAGCTATCAGGGCTAAACAACTCAATGAACAAACCCAGATCAGCTTTAAATCTGAAGAAAATATTGGGAATGTAGTTAGCAGCAGACCTTGTGTAGACATTAGTGAGATAATTGCGGAAGATAATAATTATGGTAAAGGAGGAGTTGTCCATCCCCATGCATCCATGAATCCTGATATCAATGTTACTAGTTTATATGGCAGGTAAAATTTAATTACTGTTGTCTAATTAGATTTTTTTGCCTATTGTCTACCTGGTGATTTCTTTATAATGTTTATTGGTTTCATTTCTGTGTTAAATGAAATTCCTACTGGAAGCTTTGAATAGCCTGTGTGAAATGACGATATAGCTTTTTTTATTTTCAAATTAATGTTGATATCAAGATAATATTGGTGGATGAACTTCTGTTTATTCCTTAATTCTAACTAGAAGGGCCAGTATGACTAAAACATGTGGTTTTCTTGCTGCAGTGCTGTTAGTAACAATAGTGATTCGATTAGAGATGAATGCTTTGAAAAAAAAGTTGGTCAGAGAAGCATACACAACTGTTCAAAAAATGTAGACCATGCAGCTGCTCATCATTTCAGCAGATTTAAAAATATTGGATGTCAAATGAGTCAACAAAATGAAAATAAAGTTGTAAAAAGAAATGACACTAATCGAGGAAACAACAGAGTTCTATCTGGTTGTCTTGAAAATCATGATGCAACTGAAAAAGCTCCTGTGATCTTCTCAAAATCCAACCATATAAGTGGACCTTCTCCTCCAGAAAACATGCTGCCTAAAATGCAAACGAAACACATATTAACCTCAGGAAATAGTGGTGAAAGCTCTAGGCTCATTCCTTATGATGCAGATGTTGTGTTTCTTGGCTCATCTCGGGAATCATCGAGTTCAAGGTCATCTAGAATTAATATTGGGCAACATCTGAATGTTTTGGATCTTGATGAGTCATTTGAAATGAGAGGGACAAATGGCAATTATAGAGACTGTGTGAGTGATGAGGAATTAGAGGCTAGGGCAAGGCAAGTTGAATCAGATGAAATGCTGGCCCGTGAACTCCAAGAAACATTATATCATGAGGTCCCAATATATGAAAATTTCGAGGTTGACTCTGTTTTTATTAACCACTTTTCTCCCTCATTGATGGTGACTTGTTTATTTATATTTGCTAGCCTTAAATGTTTACGGGTCTTTCAACAGCTTGATGAAAACATTGCAAGGGCACTTGAGCAGGAGGAAGATACACTCCCCAGTACTTCTACTCGTAGTCTTCATGAGTGTCTTCAGGTGAGTAAACTTGAAATTTTTATTTTTTTTATTGTTTTTGTTGATTATTACCTGAGAGTGTCATTAAATATCGGCCTGTGTACTCCAAGAACAATTATATCACAAGGTCTCGATGGTGAGGTTGACTCTGTTTTCATTCAACACATTTTTCCCTCATTGATGGTGACTTGTTTGTTGATATTTACTAGCGTTACATGTTTATGGATCTTTCAACAGATAGATGAAAACATTGCAAGGGCACTTCAGCTGGAGGAAGATACACTCCCCAGTACTTCTACTCGTAGTCTTCATGCAAGTCATCAGGTGAGTAAGCTTGAAGTTTTTTTTTGTATTGTTTTATATGATGATTACCTGAGAGTATCATGAAATTACTCTGCATCATGAAATATTTATGAACAAAGGTTTAAGATACCTGCTAAATTTGTGTTTAAACTAGTGGAAACGTGCCATACAAGGGGCATGGATTTCTAATCTTAAAAGTAGAAGAGACTTGGATTTAGTAAATTTGTCCCTCCACACGGTAAATTATTGAGGTTAACACAAACCTTGAGGTTAGTAAGGTTGTTGTAGTTCCTAATTATTTCATTTTTTTTGCATATTTGATTGTGATAATTATTAAACACCGTAAATTTGTTCCCGTTTTTTTTATCTTGTGAGCATATGTATTATAATCATCTAAAAAATCTAGTGCCGGCTAGCTAGGGTGGTAAATTTTGTTGTACCCAAAGACTTGGAACCAACTCCTGCTTTCGTGAAGGACAGAAGGAATAGAAGGGAAACTTGGAGGGTTACCTGTATTTTCTAGCCTGGTCATTGGATCTAAAAATATCTTGAAACCGACTGCTATGCTTGCTTCTAGTCCTGGCATCTCTGAGAAACACACCTTGATGTTTTGGAAAAAGGGGTATGAGATCCCACATCCTGAAAATCTGGACAAGCTAGCTTTATACAGCTGTGCCATGCTACCATATCCCAAAAAAGTTGCGGCTAAGTGATGAGCTTTTTCAAGACTATTTTGATGAGATACTATTAATTGAAGGAATCAGTGATACAAACACTGTATGCCTCTATATATCTTGGTCATTATATCGTAAACCTATCTGTAGTTACCGATACTCGTCAGCTGTGGGCATTTACCCTGCTGCATGCACTTGGTTTGCACTTGCTTTCTGTTATTGCCTAATCTTTATGCATAATCCATGGGTTTTAATTTCATTTTGATGTGCCACAAATCATTGTTTGCATGTTGAGACTCAAGAGGTTGTTGTTAACGTTAAAATGCTTTTTGAAATTGATAATTAATTTTATTATGTTTTCTATTTTGAGTACAAACACATTGATAATTAATCTTGTTATGATTAATTTTGTGTATGCAATTATTCTGGTTGGTTCTTGCGTGATTGTATCCCTTGGTTTCTTTAATGTTCAAAATTATTTTTTTTCCTTGATAATTGCTAACAGGATGTTCTTATTCTCACTATCTTTTTCCTCTTTTTTCTTTCAACGGAGATGTTCTCTCTTTTCTGGTTTAATAAGGAAAGTTGTATTTTTCTGATCTCAGAAATGAGTATTGATGCTTTGTATGTTGGTGGTGTAATTTCAAGAAGTTTTGAACTTCTTTTTTATTCCAGAAAAGTTCATTTGAAAGAGTATAAAAGAGCTTGCATAAAATTTTAGGAACCATCCTCTCTGAATCGTATTTAGATGCTTTAACAGTTTTTGTTGTTATCGAAGATGATAGAGGTGCAACTTTATGAGTACTCTCTTTTTTGTTACTGCTAGGTTGAATGACCTTAATCATACTGTTTGATTGGGGCTAATCTTGCTCGCTGAAGAGAAGGGAAACTATATTTCATTTGTGATATTTGAATCAGTGGAAAGACCTTTTATTTTTAGGATTCTATATTTGTATTCTATATCCAATCAAGGTTTTTATTTTTCAAGCATTGAAGAAATGTATTTGTTAATTCGATTTTGATAATTTTTCTTTCTTGTAATTTAGATTGTATTCACTCTCTCTTCAACTATATGAACTTGATGCTTTGCTTTCGAATTTGTATAAGTTCCTCATGTAATATTATTCTTTGCTTCAAATCAGAGAGGCTCAACAAGGCAGTGTCGTACTCAGTCTTCATTACAGACGTCTCAGAATTCTACAAATAGGAGAGGAGTACGGGCTCTATTTTCCTTGATTTTTCTTTTGAATTTGTGCAAGTTACTCCTGTTATATTATTCTTTGCTTCTTATGCAGAGAGGCTCAGCAAGGCAGTCTCGTACTCGGTCTCCACCGCGGACTTCTCAGAATACTTCAAATAGGAGAGGTGTATGGGCTCGTTTTTCTACTTCTGCTAGAGTGCTTTTCCTTCTGAATTTGTGCCAAGTTATTCCTGTTATATTATTCTTTGCTTCTTATGCAGAGAGGCTCAGCAAGGCAGTCTCACACTCCGTCCCCATTGCGAACTTCTCAGAATACTTCAAATAGGAGAGGTATACGGGCTCGTTTTTCTACTTCTTCTAGAGTGTCGCGGTTGAGGAATCAAGTTTTGAATCAGAATCGAGCAGTACCATCTAGGACAAGGAATTTTCACTTTCCACCAGACATGAATTTGGATATGGTAATATATCCCTTCTTTTTATCCTATTCTTGATTTTTGTACTTTCAAGAAAAACTGATTTATGGCTTCCTGATACAGAGATTTAATATAATAGAAGCCATGGAGAATATTATAGAAGATGATACCACTGGTGACACCTTTCGAATTCATGATTTTACCGAGTAAGATTTTTCTATAATTTTATTATTACTACTATTAGAACTGGATTTGTGTTGACCATATTAGACTATTATCTTGCACTTTGATAGACAATTTATTTAGAGGTTACAATAGGGCCATTTTTTTGTGGCAATGTTTTTTTTTTTTGATAGAATAAGGCCTCATTAAAAAACCCCTTCATATCCTACATGTTACAAACATAACATGAAGGACTTAGGAAGGAGGAAAAGAGTGCCTCTAACTTTTATTAATATGAACAATAATACACCTCCACATCATAACATATAATCCATAACTCTGAATACATAACACACCCTAATAACTCCCTTAAAGAACAACCAAGGCAGAACACCTTAAACCACTACACAAACCTAAAAATCAACCTATACCAGCTTTAGCTAATTCATCCACTTCCCAATTTGCAGCTCTCGAAATATGCCTTGTGATAATACCCTTCCTTTCCACACGAGTAGCTATATCCCTCACCAAGGATTGAAACAAAGTAGTACTAAGGTCCGGATTTTTAATCCACTTCAGAGCATTAGTCGAATCCGATTCCAAAATAATCCTCTGACTTGGACTATAATCAACTTCCTCAATAAGAATCAACCCTCTTTTGATCGCCAATAGCTCTGCGAGTATTTTTGTGGCAATGTTAACTGTCTAGGGCTGTGAAAAGTAAGTTCAGTCTTGAGGGTTTCCACTTTATGCGGTAATCTTAGGTATTTATACACAAATGTTAAACTTAAGAATATGCAAATAGGCTCCATCACAGGGCTATTTATAGGGAAGCCTAGAATCGAGATCAATTGCCTTCCCTTTATTTGGATTTCTCGAACAACCTATTTTGATTAACAATTCAGACTCATCAAAGAGAGCCTAAAACATTAGGACTCATTAGAGAGAGACCAATATCTCTTTTAGAATTTTAGTAAAAGGTTTCATTGCTTTTGTTTTATTCATCATCTCTTTAAATAGAGATTGCTTATTAATTAAGGAAACCAGGGAAGTCATATCAAACTAAATAAAGTCCTGCAACAGATTTGGCGCCACCTTTGGCCAATTTACATTTTTTTGAAAGCGAACGACTATATTTTGGGTATCTTGGGTTGATGTTGTCTAAAATTGTGGTGACTAGCGGACCTGGAATGTTTTACATCTGGTGAAGTTATAGCACATCCGAAAGTGGTTCACAAACCTCTCTATTTGGTGATTTTAACATGACCAATTTTTCTTCTTTTCGATCAGTTGTTCGAGACATCAATGTCAGTTTATATGTTCCATCCAAGCTTCTTTATTTTCATAGATAGGCCCCCCAATTTCACGACTACCACTTATTGCAGATTGAAGGAAAAATTGAGATGTTGAAAATTTGTAGAGTAGCATGTTATGCGTGTTGTTAAGAGAGTATCTGGTATAGGTAGAGGACGACAAATAATCCATCTACAGCTTTTAACTTCAATAATTAATCTTTATCTTCGGTAATTTACCGTGTTTTCACTTCTTCTTTATCCCTATTCCGATGTTTCTTAATGTTCTATTTACAATTTCCTATCTTTGGATTACAAATGTTGTTATATCTTCACCTTTCGTATTCCTGCAGTAGCGATTATGAATCAATGAAAATAATGATCAGCGTACCGATGATAGGTAGAGAAAGACTAATAATCTCGTCTATAGCTTTTAACTTCAATAATTAATCTTCTTTAATTTTTCGTTTTTACATCTGCTGCATCATATTTCTATATTGCCAAAATGTTCTATTTATGATTTCCTATCTTTGGATTGCAAATGTTGAAGTCATTATATCATTTCCTTTCGTCTTCCTGCCGTAGTGACTATGAAAGGTATTTGGCACTCGATGAAAACAATCACCATACCGGAGCATCTACTCGGCAGATTAACAGTTTACCGCTCTCGAAAGTGCAGGTATATTTCTTGGTCGTGGGAAAAAAATTCACACACCCTGTATAATTTTTTTTTTCATCATCTGTGTATGTGTTGGACGAAAAGGTCTGACTGGTCGGTCAGACTTGTCCAATCTGGCACCAATGACATGTCTGGTTTTTCATATCCTCAAGAAATGAGGATTCAATTAACCATAAGAAAACCAGTTCAATCGGTATAAAACCGGTGGCTCAGACATCATACCGATTTGATTGCGATTCTGGTTTTATTCATCATTGATACAAATACAGTTTCCTCCAGAGCTCAACTGTGAATTATTGTTTTTGATTCCTTTATCTATGCAGACCAATAATTCTGATGAAGTCTGTGCCATATGTCTCGAAAGCCCTTCGATTGGAGAAACCGTTCGCCATCTTCCTTGTCTACATAAATTTCACAAGGACGTAAGCCGTTCTATCTTGGCAATGCCACTTCGTTTTCCCTGTCTGTAACTGATTTCGAGTTGGCTTGTACGAGGATGTTAACGAGTTCAAATTTTCTTTTCTCTCTATGTTCCCTTCATTTGTTGCAGTGTATCGATCTGTGGCTCAGTCGGAAAACGTCATGCCCGGTTTGCAAGTCATCAATAAATTGAATGGGGGAGCGTATATGCTTTGAAATGTTGATAGGAGAGAAGATCAAGAATATATTGTGTAAAGTTATGGGGCATAGCCTGCAACTTTCCTTTTTTCTTTTCGAATAATGACAAAAATATACCTGACGTTTGCACAAATGATCACTGTCTTCTTATTTTTTTAGAATATTTTACAATAGTCACATCACTTGTTAATAAAATCGTATGCACTAATTACATCTATTGTTAATAAAATCGTTAGGTTAAGTTATATTATTATATGTTTGAAAAAATAGAATTTAAGTTAAATTATGGTTGAAATTAATTATATATTTAGATGAATTTGGGGATAAAATTGAAATATTGAAAAGTTTGGGGATTAATTTAGAAAGAGGGTCATAGTTTAGGGATGAAATTAGAATGATCAAAAGCTTAAGGACTAATATAAAATGAGAGTTATAATTTATGGATGAAATTGAAATATTCAAGAGTTTAAGGACCAATTCAAAATGAGAGTTATAGTTTAGGGATATATGATATAAATAATTCTATTTTATATTAAAACTAAGGGTAAATTACAGGTTTAGTATCTAAAGTATCAATCTTGATCTGTTTTAGTACTTAAATTATGTTATATTATTTATTTATTTTTATTTTAAATTGAAATGAGAAAATATTTTTATAAGTTAAATAACAATTTTGGTATGTATTAAATCAATTCTTATTTTGATTTATTGGTTAAATGTTTGAATCTCTGAGATGTCTTATGTTTGAATCATATATCTATTAATTTCTTTTATTTTATAGTGACAGTTTAATATAAGTTAAATATATACTTTGATAAATTAATACTAATGACACGTCTAGCCTAGATGGTTGGGCGCCCATTAAGTACCACCTCTATCCATTATTGATTTTTTTATCAATTTTTTTAACTTTAACTCAGTATTATTTAAAATTTGTTACAGGTTAGAATATGAAAAAATATATTTTAAAAACCATAAATCAATTAGTTTTTACATATATTTTATAAAATTAAATTGTTTAAAATATTTAAAATAATCATTATAAAAGTTTAAAATTTTTAACTTTAAAAAAATTAATAATTGACATATTTAGTGAGACGGAACGTGTAATATATATACATAACCGATATAGGGACCACACTTTTAGTAACAACTTAGGGTTTCCACTTTCTAATTTAATTATTAAGGGCTTCTATTTTTTTCCAATTTCATAAAATAGTCCCCACTTTCTAATTTAATTATTAAGGGCGCCTATTATTTTTCAATTTTATAAAATTGTCTCCACTTTCTACCTTAATTATTAAGAGCCTCTAATTTTTTATAAACTAATTTTAATTTTATAAAATGACTCTACTTTCTACCTTTATAACCGAGGGCTCCTAATTTTTTTCAGTTCTATAAAATTCTTTATTTTCCATCCATTTCTCTGTCTCTTTCATTAGTTCATTCAACTTTGAATTAAATCTAATCATTTTCATCTTTTCAAATCTCATTCTTCAATTTATCAAACATCCTTTAACTCTTAGTCTTCTTCAATCTTAATCTAAGGCTAAAAATATTCTTCTTTTTTTATATATTGTTCAAAATCAAACTCCATATCAGACTCACATTCAAATTTTTTTATTCTGTCTTGGTTGTATTTAAGGTGTTTTCTTAACGAAACAATGAAAACAATGTAATATTAAATTAATTGTTCAAATAATAGAATATGCTTTTATTTTATAAGATTTATTTTTCAGTTTTCACTCAGGACCTCAACGTAAAACTCTTTTGATTTTACATATATTTAGGATCATTAGATAAGTGAAAATTGATAACTAAGATTATCTCCTTATTTTTTCAGTGAATATCTTATCATATCCTACTATTAATTATTTTGAAACTAAGATAATATCTTCTCAGATTTATGTGATCTGGTTTAAGATAAGTTTGTCTCATTTCGATATATTTATTAAAATATTTATATTTTATACCTTTGTTTATAATATATCTAAAATTTTTATTATTTATTTTTGGAGTTAGGGTAAGTCAGATTTTATTAAAATTTTGGAGTCAGATTTTATTAAAACTGAGATGGAATGAAAACTCCTAAATTTTGTAGTTAAGGCGATCAAAATTCCTTTTCACCCTATCATTATCCCTAATCATTTTTCTTGAATAATCTTTGGTAATTATAATGTACTCGTAATTTTTTTTAACAATTGATAACGCATACATACTCTACGAATATAGTTGCTCGAACTCAAGACCTTAAAAGAGAAAAATATTATTTTTAACTCCTAAGATGTATGAATGAATTCAATGCTATTCGTAATAAATAAATTTAAACAAAATTTAAATATCATATTTAAAAATGAACTTAAATAATTAACATGCACAAATTTCTTCTATTAAAAAATCTTAATTTGTTATCTTAATATTTTTATTAAAATTCTAGAGAGATGTAGCGCCGTCTAAATCCAACGCCCCTAAAAATTAGGAAGAAAACAAAAGGCTAGAAATCCAATGTTCCCTAAAACAATGGTCGGATTCATCCACGTGGGCTACCAAAACCCCAAATCAGACACGTGTGTCTATTACTACGTGGAATTGCACAAGCTATTTACCACACAAGTCATTGAAATTGGTAGGGGGGAAATACAAGGTTAAATTACAAAATGTCATCACCCAACTTTTTTTTACTCCTATTTTAGTCACTAAACTTTGAAATATTTTTATTTGATCATTGAACTTTGAGATAGATCATGATCATTCGAGCATCAAATCAAAAAGAACATGGTGACGTAACCAATGTTTATATTTTCCACCTAATTTTCTTTTTTTTTTCTATTAATATATTTATTCATTTACACCAACCACTATCTTAAATTTTAATACCCCACTCGACATCACTTATTATCTCCTTATACAATGCCTCCATCGAATTATTACATAAAAAAAAAACTAATTTGACCTGCGTACCAAAATCTAAAATCTATACATACCAATATATATATTTTCAAGGACATATAATCAATTTTGAATAAGACAATTTTAAAAGAGAAAAACTGTAGCAATCAATTTTTGATGGCCATGTACCAGTCCCGATTATGATCAGACACAAATAACTAAAATTTAACTTTGTTTTTTTATTAAATAAACATCAAATTTACGTTCAAGACAGTGAAATAAATTTGGTAAAAAGAAATTCAGGACTCATCAATCTCCATTAATGATGTTCGATGATGATTGATACAGTGATCAAATTTTAGGGAGATAAAGAGAAGAAGAGAGGAAGAAAAGAAAAAGAAAGGAGGAAAGGTGGGATAAAATTGAGTTTTATACGAATCCAAAATGAAATCATTTATAGAAATTATTGTTTTTAAGTGAAATCATTTTATATCGAATGTCATGTTATAACATTGCTAACTATTTAATGACGAAGTGACCAAAGCATGAGCAACTCAAAAGTTTAATGATTGAATTGAAAATTTTAAATTTTAGTGACTAAAATAGGAGTGAAAAGAAAGTTCAATGATGAATTTCATAATTTACCCAAGTTTTATTTATTTATTTAAGGTTTATAGAAATAAAAATAGGGAAATAACGAAATTGGGACACGTGGGTAGCCATGTTGGAGGCAGGCGATATTGGAAAGTTATTGGGGCTAACCCACCAACTGTCTCTGTAAGCCCCACTTCACTCCCTTATTTATGTAGTAATTTTTTAATTTATCAAAATTCATATAAGTTTAAAAAAAATATTTAAATAAAATAAAGGAGTCAAAATTTAATTTAATTTAATTTATTTTAAATATATAAAGTTTTTAAAAATATTTAAATCGAAGAATCACGATTTAATTTATCGAGTTTTAAACTAACGTGAACAGATGGACTTAATATACAATTCAACCCAATTTTCATTATTTTTATTAAAAGAACCAAAATGAATTTGTAAGCATGTGTTCTAAACCATAAAATATATATATATATATATATATATATATAATGGAGAATTTAATAACCCAAGTTGCTAAAAAGAATGAATATTTCTTGTTATGTAAGGCTATGTATGTTTTCCTAGTTTCAGGGATTCATCGAATATATGAGTTTGGTGAATATTTGTTTATATTTTTTATTGATAGTTTATTTTTGTTTTTAAGATTTAATAAGTTTATTCTTCTTAAAATTTTAAAAAATTATTATATTAACCTAAAATCGTGCATTTGCTCTTAGATTTTTCTAGAAATTTTGAATTTAAGTATCATTTTCTACAATATATATATATATGTGTGTCAGATTCTGAATAAGTATTATCTAGTAACTATTTTAAATTATTAAAAAAATATTATTTGTATGTATATTATTATATGCCTTTGAAAAGTTCAAACTCATCTCTAACGTGTCTTCTCCTCCTCTACCGTCTATATTTAGGTGCAAAAATATTTAATGTCACATACACACAGTTTTTCGCTTTATATAAACCCTACCTCTTCAACTCTACACCCAAACCTCACCAAAAAGAAGATTTTAGTTCCCCCCCCACCATGCAATTGCAACCCTCACTTCCTCTCCTTCAACCTCGTTCTCCATTATTCACATGCAAAATCCTCATCAATCCATCGAAAAAGACGATTCCTCGACACCCATCACCGTCGACATGTCCGAGTCCGCTTCTGCCTCGATATCCCGAGGTCGAACGTAGTGTCTTGGTGCCACGAGAGCTGAATTATCCGGCTCAACTGAATCCGTTTCAAAAGCTAGCCGCGGTGGCCTTGGACAAAATCGAGACCTCGGTGATCATGCCACTAGAAAAAAATCATGTGTTGCCTAAAACGGTCGACCCGACGGTTCAAATATCCGGGAACTTTGCACCGGTTGGAGAGTGTCCGGTTCGTCAAGGTTTGGAAGTTGTGGGACGGATTCCGGCTTGCTTACATGGTGTCTATGTTCGAAACGGTGCGAATCCGATGTTTGCTCCGTCGGGCGGACACCATTTATTTGACGGTGATGGGATGATCCATGCTATTAGCTTGGGGCCAGGGAATGAAGCTAGTTATAGTTGCAGGTATACTCGAACGAGCCGGCTGGTTCAAGAAGCCCGGTTGGGTCGGTGCATGTTTCCAAAACCGATTGGTGAGCTGCATGGACACTTGGGTTTGGCCAGACTCGGTTTATTCATGGCTCGATCCGGTTTAGGCTTAGTCGACGGTTCCCATGGTACGGGTGTGGCAAATGCAGGGCTTGTCTACTTCAATGGTCGATTGTTAGCCATGTCCGAGGATGATCTTCCTTACCATGTTAATATCAACGGCGATGCCGATCTCGAGACAGTCGGACAATTCAATTTCGACGATCAAATCGATTGTCCGTTGATCGCTCACCCCAAACTAGATCCCGTCACAGGTGATTTGCACACCCTGAACTACAACGTCTTAAAGAAACCTTACCTGAAATATTTCAAGTTCGATAAATTCGGAAGAAAGTCACGTGACTTGCACGTGAATATCGAACAGGCCACCATGGTCCACGACTTTGCCATAACAGGGAATTTCGTGATAATCCCGGATCACCAAATGGTATTCAAGTTATCTGAGATGATCGGGGGCGGGTCACCGGTCGTATACAACAAGAAAAAGACATCCCGATTCGGTGTTTTACGACAAAACGACGCCGTCGGGTCAGGAATCCAATGGATCGACGTACCGAATTGCTTTTGTTTCCATTTATGGAATGCATGGGAAGAAGATAACACCGAAACCGGTGACAAAACCGTAGTCGTAATCGGGTCGTGCATGAACCCGTCCGACTCTATTTTTAACGAGTCGGGCGACATGTTACGAAGCGAACTATCCGAAATCCGAATGAACTTAAGAGCAGGAGAATCAACACAAAGGATTATCATATCAGGGATGAACTTGGAAGCGGGTCAAGTGAACGGGCAATACCTAGGTCGAAAGACCCGGTTCGTCTACTTGGCCATAGCCGATCCATGGCCGAAGTGTTCCGGCATAGAAAAAGTCGATTTACGGACCGGAGAAATCACGAAATTCATGTATATCGTTTCGGGGGTGAACCATTCTTCGTCCCCGAAAACAAGCAAAGAAAGGGAGAGAATGATGAAGACGAAGGATATATAATGGGATTGGTGAGAGACGAGGAGAAGGAAACGTCAGAGATGGTGATCGTAAAAGCTGGGAACATGAAGCAGGTGGGTGCTGTAAGGTTGCCGACAAGGGTTCCTTACGGGTTTCATGGTACGCTTGTTAGTCAACAAGACCTACGCCGACAAGTTATGTGAAAAAATTAGGTTGTCTTTTTGTGTATTCTAATTGTGTATTTGTACATAGTCTAAATATAGATATATAGGTAGATACATTCATTATAAACCAAAATACAGTGTTTATATGTAAAAATCATTATGGTGATTAACCCTTAGTGATGCACGAAAATATCGTATATCATATTTTCTATATATTTTTTTATAGAAGTCATTAATTTTATAAAAAATAAAAATATTTTAAATTACAATGAAGATTTACGATTTTAATCGTAAATTAAGTATATAATAAGAATAATTTCTATAATAATTGAAACAAAAAGTAGTAACTTAAAATCGCATAAGTACTATATAAGAAAAAATTAAAAATCTAACTAAGAAATTTAAATAAAGATAGATACAATATATCTGATTACATAAACAAATAAACTATAAAAGATGATCAAGTTATTGGAATATCATCAACAAACCACAAATCAGACTTGAGTGACGTGAAAAACTATCTACAAACACAAATCGAGTATCCAAATCTAATTTGAGAATTCGAAATATGAAAGATTAATAAGATAACATATAAGGGGTGTTTTGTTCACGGAAAAGATTATTACCAAGAAATACTCTTTTCCCAATAGTTGTATTTTTTTGATTAAATTAGTGAAAATGTCATAATCTCCAAATTCTTAGTATTACACAATTTCCAACACTTTAGACAATAATACCCTTGAACTAATAAATTCTTTTTATAATGATCCTTATCAATTCTTATTTTTTTACTTTACTCAAAATTATAAACATAATAATAATATACAAAGAGTTTGATTTACTAAAATATTAATAAATTTGAGAATTTAAAAATATTTTATATTTATAATATTCAATATATTATTTTATAATTTTATGGGATGAAAATAATAATATTATTGTAAAACTGTAAAATAATTTTAACTTTTAGTTATTAAAAATGGATCTTATATATAGAAAAATAATATCTTAGTCCACTCAATATCATAATATTTTTTTTCATATTATATTATTTTTTTATTTTTTATAATCTGAGGTAAATACAAAGTGGTATCTGTTCAAAGAACACTCTCAAACTTTTGACACTGAACGCTCACACGCCTGGGATTTGTGCTATTATATATTTTATATAAGTAAATATGATACTTATGAAAATTATTTAAAAAAAATATTTAATATACTAATTATAGTAATTATATATTAAATGTATTTTTTCAAAAGTTAAATGGTATAATGATTAAAATATTTTTATGAATTTTCATTCAAATATTTATAATTAAAAACATATATCACAAAGATAATTTGGTAAAATATGCATCAAAGTAATCTTATATTTCTCTCACCAAACATTGTAATCTTACATTCTTACTAAACAAATCAAACAAGGTAATACAACATTCCCAAAATAATGTTACACTCTAGTAATGTTTTCTCAAATGAAATTTTACATTCCGTGAACCAACAGCCCCCTAAGCGTCATTTTGATCAGTCGTGACGTTGTCAAATCAATTCTTAAAAAAATAAATAAATAAACGACCATAAGATTAAAAAACGTGCTAAAAGATAGAAAAAATATACCATAAAGGCATATGAAAATGTTTCATGCAAACAAACATATTGAAAATCAAAAAATAAAAGAAAATAAAGATGTAATATAAAAAAAATAAAAAGAACAATAAAAAATATCGACAGTCAGCAACCAACATTAAAATTGATATCATCGCTGATCAATAAAGACGAAAAGAAAAAAATGATATAATATAATATAATAATTATATTATAATAATTTTATAAAGAGAAAATAACCTCAGTGATCGAAAATACCTTATAATATACGATTTTAACCAATTTTTTTTTGGATTTGCCAAAATGACCAACAAATTCGCAACGCGAACTCCAATTTCGCAACCCAGTTTCCAAATTCGCAACGCGAATCTGTAAATCGCAACACAGAAGTCAAATTCGCAACGCGATAGTCAAATTCGCAACGCGGAATTTCAAATTCGCAACTGAATTTCAAATTCGCAACTAGATTTTCGAATTCGCAACACGAATTTAATTTCGCAACAGGTTTTAGTTTCACAACACAAATGTTTTGGGTATATAACAATGCAACAACAACAACTCATTACCTAAATCCCTAAATCGCAACTCATTCCATCTCCATCTATCACTCTCTCCGGCGACATCCGTTCCTATATCCAACGACATCTTTCCCCATCTCTAATTTTTTTTACATAATTTTATTTCTATATAATTTTTCAATGATTTATCTCCCAAATTATCAACTATCAACTTAATAAAGGTATGTTTTTCTCTAAGTTAGTGATGATATCTAGTTTATAGCTCGTTTGTTTAGTAAATTAATTTACAATTTGTAGAATGAAATCATCTAATGTTGATCATGTTTGGATAGATTTGTGTTTTGGAGGGTCATGGGAGAATGTTCATGGTGTTTTACAATATGTTCCTTTACCCATGAATCTCCAATTAAAACTGTCATTAAAAAAGTTAACTTATGAAACTCTAATGTTACGTGTTGTAAAGAAATTGAATTTAGAGCCTCTAAGTGGATTTAGGCTATCTTATCAGAGAAAATGTAAAGTTTATTTGTTAACCGAAAATGAAGATGTTGAACGATTCATTGCTTGCATTAGTGTTTCGCAAGAAGATGATGTTACATTGTATGTTGTTGAACCTAGAAGTAGTGAAGTTGGGTCAGTAGCGGGTAGTAATCAACTAAGTTCTTCAACCCCAGTTTATGGTGCTCACAATGTACAACGTTGTTATCAACCTCAAAATTTAATGGTTCCACCACAATTTCATCACCAAGAAAATTTTGTTTCACCACATTTCCAATACCAAACACAATATCAAACCCCACAACCTTTTCCTAATCCAAATCACAATCAACTTTCAGCACCAAATTCTGGTTTTCGTATTGACCAGTTAGACGATTATGAGCCAACAGAAAAAATTGTGAGTACTAGTCAGTATTCGAAATTTGATCTTGGTCAATACCCGGACTTTGATCTTGGTCAATACTAGGATTTTGATGATGTGATAGAAGAAGAAACATACCCTGCATGTAATGATTTTGATATTGGTCAATACCCAAATTTTGATGATGAAACAGCCGCTATCGAGGAAGATGTTATTGATGATAATGAGGAGGAAGTTACGACTGTGAATGAACATGTTGAACATTCATTCTATAATTCATATAACCCTGAAGAAGAAAAAGAAGAAGAAGAAGTCCCCGAAGAAAAGAAAAAGAAGAAAATGCCATGGGAGTATAACTGAAATATGCCAGAATTACTTCAGATACCTGAAGAAGAATTGGTAAAGATAGCAGTTGATTGTTACACAAAAGTTATTCGTATCAAGAAATATGATTGTTTTGATACAAAGGAATACTTGAAGATAGCTTTGTATACGAAATGTGTGGAAGATGGTTATCAACTAAAAGTTAACAAATCAAACAAAGATCATTTCGAAATAAGGTGTATGATTGACAAAAACTGTACGTGGCGTATGATTGTAAAGAGGATAAAAGATTACGAAATATTTCAAGTTAGGACATTTATTGATAAACATACATGTTCAAGAACCCAAGTTTTTCCTCATCATAGACAAGCAAACAAAAATGTGTTGGGTGGTTTTCTGGCTGAGTTAATGTTTTTGAATGGAAGGGTATATCGGGGACATGAAATTATGACTGACATGAATGGTCAGTTCAAGATTAGTATCTCATATTCTCAAGCTTGGAGAGCCAAATTTTATGCCTTGGAATTGTTGAGGGGGTCACCAGAAGCATCGTTTGCCCAACTACCGGCTTATTGTCACAATTTAAAGCTGAAAAATCCTGGGTCGGTAACTCATATCAAAACAGATAGAGATGGACGATTTGAGTTGCTGTTTATCGCCATTGGTGCTGCGGTTAGTAAATAATTATAATTTTGTTGACTCATTTTTGTTAGTTGCATGCATTTCACATTTAAATGATTATATTTCTTGTGTATATGATTTTGTAGATTCGTTCGTTTATTACTTGCATGCACCCAGTTATTATAGTTGACTGAGCACATTTGAAAGGTCGATACCTTGGAGTAAACTTATTAGCAGTAGCCATGGATGCTAACAATGGGATACTGCCAATAGCTTACGGGGTTGGCAAATCTGAAACCTCTGATTCATGGACATGGTTACAGGCATCTTAGGGATTGCATAGGTCCTATTAGCAATTTGAAAATCATATTCGATAGGGAAAACTCAATTGACAACACTGTTAGAAGGTGTTTCCCAGATGCTTTTCATGGACTTTGTGGTGTTCATTTGTACAAAAATCTAAAATCAAGGTCTGCTGGTATAAAAAATCACAAATGGACATACTGGAAGGTTGTAAAAGCTTATCGGGAAGTGGATTTTAATTAGCATATAAATTGTTTAAGACATGTTTTGCCTCAATGTGCTCAAACACTAGAAGATGTCGGGTTTGAAAGATGGTCAAGAGTACATCAACTTGGAGCAAGATATGGTTTCATGACGTCTAATAGTGCATAATCAATCAACGCTCTAAGTCGTCATTCCCAGAAATTACCCATTATTATGTTAATGGAGTTTTTTCGAGCCTCTATTCAACAGTGGTACTACAAGAAAAGAAACCATGCATGTATTATTTCTTTAAATTCGTAACTTATCATATATTTTACTATGTATTATTTATTTAAATTTACAGGAATATTGGAACGTCGTGTTATACCATAGACTGAAAAAAAGATAACGAGACGTGTTGTGAAGTCAACATCATGGAGAGTTGAACCATGTTCAAACACTTTGTTTGAAGTATTGGATAATAACTTAAATGGGCTTGTCGATCTAAATGCAAAGACATGTAGTTGTAAGAAATGGAAAACATCTGGTAATCCGTGTGGCCATGTTATAAAAGTTGTTCTTCATCTAAACCAAGATGATTCAAGCGCATACGCTATGGATTGCTA